GAGATATCCTCAATCTAATAGAGATAGTGTTTCGTGGTCTAGAACTATTTGAACTTGTCAATGGAAGTCCTTATGGAACTTTCATGTAGATTTTCGTATCTAGATCCCCATAGAGATAAACGGTTACCACGTCCATAAGCTGCATATTCAGTTTTTCAGAAACTACCAAACTGATTAAGTAACGGAACATTATGACGTTCATTACAGGGGAATACGTCTCCTCGTAATCAATCCTAGGGCGCTGAGAGAAGCCTTGTGCTATGAGGCGTGCTTTGTATCGCACTATTTCATTCTTCTCATTATGTTTCCTCACGAAAACCCACTTATAGCCCACAGGCTTCACATATGGTGGAGTAGGAGCTATAGGTCCAAACACCTTACGTTTTGCAAGCAAATCGAGTTCAACCTGGATTGCTTGTTTCCCGTTTGACCAATCTGTTCTACGTTGGCATTCATCCATGGAACATGGTTCAGTGTCATCGCTAAGCATGATGTCATTAGCTATTGTGTACACAAATGCATTGTCGACGATCATCTCATTCCAATTCCAAACATCATCCAATACTGCGTAGTGGACTGAAATCTCACAATTCTCGAGAGATCGGCTTGTCTTGTCTAAGACATTACCGTAATCTAGAATAACCTCATGCATTGGAACGGATGAGTGAGCGATGGTTGGATTCAAACTAGGGTCACTAGTTGCTACTGATTTCCTTTTCCGGGGTTGTGAATCCTTTGAACTAAGGGGTATGCCATGCTTCAGGGTTGGAGCAGATGGTTGGCTAACCGCCAACGTACCGAGCCGAGTGAAAGATGAGGCCTCCTCATCTTCGGGGAAGGTCCGGCCTTCCCAGGCAGTGTTATGACATACATGGGGTACATCTATCCTTACATGTGCATTTGCAGCAGGTATATGTGATCTTGTCACCTTAGCTAGATCAGTAAAAGCACCCGACATGCTCTGAGCAATGCTCTGAAGATCTATAATTTGTCGCACCTCAATTTCAGACTGGGCAATGCAGGTATCTAAATGAGCCATAGTGGGAGCATACCACGACAATTCGTGGCATTCTCCAGGAACATTAGCATGCTTATTTCCCCCTAACGACGGGAAGATTGTCTCATCAAAGTGACAATTCGCAAAACGTGTGGTAAAGAGATCTCCTCTCAAGTGTTCTAAATTGAAAAATATTGATGGCGAATCATAACCAACATAGATTCCCATTTTTCTCTGAGGACCCATTTTGGTACGTAGTGACGGCGCTATTAGCACATAAACGGCGCACCCAAACACACATAAATGTGAGACGTTAGGCTTGTATCCAGTAACCAACTGTAACAGTGAATGAGGTTGGGTAGCGGTGGGCCTCAGGCGGACTAGCATAGCTGTGTGTAATATTGCATAGCCTCAGGCAGATACCAACAATTTGGGTCACATAACCAAAGTTCAAGCTATCAATTGAAGGGGCTTTATGAAAGCTTTTGCCATGCCGTTTTGGGTGTGAACATAAGGTACATGATGTTCCACTTCAATCCTTAGTGACATGAAATAATCGTCAAAAGTTTGTGACGTAAACTCTCCAATGTTATCTAGTTGAATCAACTTGATCGAATAATCAGGGTGCCCTTAGCTTAAAAATTTGTGCTAGGAGTCTCGCAAATGCAACATTGTGAACATGTGACCATCATGTCGATGCATCAATCAACACCATAAAGTATCTAAATAGTTTGTATGTTGGTTGGATAGGTCTACAAATATCCCCTTGAATCCTCTAAAGAAACTTAGAAGGGTCATGAATAATCTTTGTAATTGAGGGTTGAGTATCTAACTTCTCCAAAGAACATGCTTTGCATGTCGGGAATCCAAAGTAGGGAGGTAAATGATGGCATATGATGAGTTAAGGATACAGCGCATCATGTCACGTTCGGGATGTCCCATTTGGTCATGCCAAAGCAGCAAAGTGCTCCGGAATTTAGGCACAAGGACGGCCACATGGTAAGCTTCTATGCCGCGAGTGGTTGTGATGTACAACCCACTCGGGAAACGTTCCAACTTCTCGTCAATACATTTTTGGCCATATTCGTACGAAGTGATACAAAGAAATTCAAAACCATTATCTTCAATGGTTTCAATATGATATTGATTATCTCGAATATCTCTAAAACTCAGCAACGTTCTTCAGGAACGTGGAGAATATAAGGCACCTTTAATGGTTAAGATAGTACCATTGGACAACATGATACGGGCCTTTCCGTATCTTTCAATCAAGTTGGATGAGCCTGGGAGAGTTGTCAAATGTGCTTTCTTAGGTACAAAGTTAGTAAAATAGTGTTGCTAATGCAATATGGTGTGTGTGGTAGTACTATCAGCCAGACAACTAACTTCCCCACTAGACATATACCTAGAAATAAATTGATTGAATTGGTCACATGCATAAATATAAATCCATTCATTCAATTAATCAATTCGAGAAAAAAATATCCATGAAATAACAATCCATAGTTCAAAACAAACTCAAACCAAACAAATTATTCCAAAGACTTAGAAAAATTGTCCAAAATTAAACCATAAACCTAGAAAAAAAAAAAAAAAAAAAAAAAAAGCAGGTTGTTTCCACCACTCCCAGTGGGTTCGGCCACTAGGGATAAAACACCCTAAAAACATGTCTAAAATTTATTCATCCATAGGAGTTGATGTTGGAAATGTGCCCTAAAACCAATCATATGATGATACTTTACGGACATTTCACATGTTAAACTAATATAGTTTAATATAAAGAGCAAAGATTATTGTTTGAAGCCGTCTCATATAAATGTTATAAGCTTAAACGATAAGTCCAAGGAATATGTAATTGGGAGAATGCGATCTAAAGAAGTTATATTCATGAGACCATTCTCTTTCGTATACATATCCTAAACGTTCCTGATCATAGGATTGCCAATTGGACATTGACAGTCCGTTAAGATCAGTACGTGCTATGTCTTCTCTTAGGGAGAGTGACTGGTCTCGAGTCATTGGTGTGACTGACACCAAGACAAGCATTTAGGTGCTCAATAGAGAATGAGTCCACTGAACACGATCAACAATGAGTTCTCATACTCATGTCACATGAGAACTCATGGTTGGGATAATGCAAAGTAGTCTTTTGACCTGAGGCATCATAGTTGTCTTGTGGTTAGGTCCTTGATCTTTGACTATGTCACTATGTCAAAGTCACTCCGTCAGAGGGTGTCCACGACATAGTTGGGGTTAAGCCACTTAGCCATGGGGACAACTAAAAGCACAACAAGGGATCTCTAACCTTTAAACCGTTTGAGAGGGAATACTCTATGATATGATTAAGAATCTCTAGCCAGAGTATGAATGAGATTTAGGAAATCGTTCCAAATCACATTCAAGGTAATCATATAAGTAAGAGAATCATATTGGATAGTAGACATGAATAAACTATCAAACCAAACAATGTGGTCAAGAGTATTGTATTAGAAAAAGACCGTATTGCATTGTAATCCTAAACTGAATAGGTTCTCCACCTCTTCTGATTAGCTTGGGTAACCATGACATACTGCTAGGTGTCACTCATGGTTTGTGGAAGCCCTAAACATGTATAATCACTAAAGGGAGAATTGAAAGTAAGTTTCAATTCACAATCGATTTGAAAGAGTTCTAATCGCCCACTGCCTCGCTAAAAGGAACCTAATGGATCGTACACCGTGTAAGGTAGAGATTGAAGAAACAATGGAGATGAGTAAGGATAATTAAATGGTTTAATTATTTATGGCAAGGATTAATTAATATGTTAATTAATCAAACGAATAAAGTTCGTTAAAGACCTCGGGTTAGTTTTGGGCCTCAAGGCCCAATGGGCTTCGAACGTTAAGCCCATTGACTTAAGTTGTATGACAACTTAATGACTAATAATTCTCAAAGGCCCAAATAGCCCAATAAAACCCTATGGCCGGCCATTTTGATAAAGGAGTGGGTTTTGGACTTATTACAAGTTTGCCACTCCAATGAAGGTAAGTATAAATGCGACTGTATAGCCTTTTCTTCATTAGGGTTTCTTTTGGAGAAATGATGAGAACACAATGTCTCTCCCTTTCTCTCTAGGAGGCTAGCCCCCTTGGAGGAGATTAGCTAGCAATCTTCTCTCCTCCAAGGTCACTCATCTCTTCTTCGAGTCTCTCCTTGGTGTGGAAAAATTAGAGGTTCTCAACTTTGGGAACTTGGAGAATCCTTTCAATCATCTTCATCCAAGAAATCCATGGATCTCAGAAGCAAGGAATGAAGGCCCTCTCCTTGGGTGATTAGCCTTTGCTTATGCAAAGAGGAATCAACAAAGGTATAAGATTTCTCAACTCACTTTGTTCTTGAGTGGAGTCTTGGTTCACCCTTCTACTAGGCTTTGAATTTCATGAGTAATGTTTTGTTTTGAGTGCATACAAGCATGATTCCGCCTTTAATTGTTAATTGCATGCTATAGATGTTGCTCAAATAAACATGTTTTTCACAAAATTTCCTTCAGTTGATGCCTCCTAAAAATCTGATATCTCCATGGATGTAATAACATCTTCCAGACGTTCCACATGTGCAAAGTTAGACTCACGACGGCAATGATACTTGGCAACGACCTCAAAGGTAGTTCGGCATACGCGTGACCAATGATCATTTGATCCATAGCGGTAGCACATGTCCATTTTAGTGGAAGGCAATTAAACGGTGGTTTTTCCCTTGTTCTTGAAGTTTGGGGCCTTAGGGGCAAGGGGTTGGCCCTGTTGGGTCAAATTTCCTCCCTTAGGTGGGCCTTGAATCTATTGACCTTGGGTCCTAGTTGGGCTTGTCGCCTATTTCCACGGTCACGACGATTTTTGCGTCGTTTGTGGCTGCTAGAATTGGTTGCATGCACTTCAGGTGCGACGTTCGAGCAAGTGGGTCGAGCTTGATAATTCTTCATCAAAAGCTGGTTTTGTTTTTCAGTGAGAAATAAAATATAATCAAATCCAAAAATTTGGTGAATTTATGTGCCTTATATTGTTGCTATAGGACAATATTGGTGGCATGGAAGGTCGAATAGGTCTTTTCCAGGAGATCTAATTCGGTTAGTTCCACTTTACAGAACTTCAGAAGTGATCGGATTCTACAAACTTCAGAGTTGTATTCATTCATGGACTTAAAGTCTTGGAAGCGATGATGTCAGTCGTGTCTTGCTTCAGGCAAGTAGATGTCTTTATGGTGATCGAAACGGTCAGCCAGGGCAAGCTAGAGGGTGCATGGGTCTTCTTCAGCAAGGTATTTGGTCTGCAGTGCATCATATATATGTCTTCGAATAAAGATCATTGCATTAGCTTTCTAAGCTTCATCGACTTGTTTGTCGACGATAGGTGCCTCGATGGTGGCTCTAATACCCTTTGCAGTAAGATGAAGCTTCACGTCTTGAACCCACTTCAGGTAGTTTCTTCCAGATACTTCCAGAGTAGTGAAATCGAGCTTGTTCAAGTTCGACATGTCCCTAAAACAAAGGGTACAACAAAAACGTGGTTAGTCATATGGTGATCCATAGACATATATCATAGAACATTCAGGTTCTATATACATGTATTGGTTTAATTTATGCATGAAAACTTTGAGTTTCATGTGGTAAGTTTTGAATGAAAACTTCAGGTTTCAAAGGCACTAAATATGAAACTATAGGTTCAATTTAGTTTTATGAACGATTAGTTCATAAAGGAGAGGTTCCTACAAGAACACATAATGCAATATGTTAATTTAAGTGTAGTGGATTTGAGTTGCTTCGGGAACTCAAGTGTGAGAGGTTCAGAGCTACGAAAGGATGTCAACGGTTCAAAGTATAAAAATAAATTATTGAATCGTTAATGTCAAAAAGTGATCTTTAGGTCAATAGTTTAGTATTAATTATAAGATAAATTGACTACATATCACTTTTAATTAATTCAATAGATTGAGACCAAACAAGATCTCGTTGAAGCAAAATAATGACATACGGGTCAAAAAAAAAGTGGGCCTTGCAGTTCGGGTGCAGGCTGATTGGGCCTCTATAAAGGCTGCAGGCCTTGGGTCGAGTGGTCTGGGAAGCCCAGCAGCCAAGGCTGCTGGCTTTGGGCAATGAATTGGACATAGGTGCAGGCCTAGTGAAAGTTAGCCTTGGGTTGGTCCGAGGAAGCCCAACCGAAGCTAGGTTTCATGTTTTTGGGTCAGGGCAGTTTAAGCCTAATAGCAAAAGCTGGGGGCAAATGGGCTGAATGTTGGGGCAAAGCCCAGTTAGTTATAGGCTGTTGCAGGCAAGCTAAGTCATGGGGCAAAAGTAAGCCCAATAGTACTAGACTGCTGGAGTTGGGCCAAGGACTCGCGGCTTTCTTGGTTGGGCTAAGGGACTTCAAGGCCGTGAAGCCTATTAACCCGAAGGCCTAGGGTGTCTGGGTCAGTGCAGCAAAGCCTAAAGGGCTGCTGCCGTGAGGTCCAAGGTGTCAAAATGACACCATTCTATGATATGCTCCACGCGGCTGAGCTTCAGGCCTCTTCCTACGATCCTTCAATTCCTTAGCTTCTGGCAAGAGCGTGCTGATAATGTGTTGTAGGACTATTTAACTGAGCTATTCTAAGGGAATAGAGAGAGGGAGGTCATCGGTAGTGAGAGAGAGAAGAGAAAGATTTAATTGTGAGGTGTGTGTTGTATCAACCCATTGTGCCTTTATTTATAGTAGTAGGATAAGTTAAATCCTTACCCTTTTAGGATTACAACTCTAATAGGATATTAACTACTAAAATGAATATTCAAAGATATCCCTAGATACACTAGGATTTAAACAATCACATTCCTATTCTAAATATGACTGCAACATTTAGAACATATTTTGATAACACAAGAATTCGATTTCATCATCCAAATTCAAGTTCATTTAATTTGTTAGAGAAAAAAAGTTGGAAATCTAATTCTCTGTAATATATGTAGAAGAAGTGTGAGAGTTGTATTCATAGTTTCAATTAGAGGGTTAGCTCTTCATATTTATTAGATATCAATTAAAGTTCTGTCTCTTAGTAAATTTTTTCTTTTATTTTCTTATTTGAAAGTGTAAAAGTATCCTAAAAGCATGTACATGTATCCATTGAGTCAAAGTTTATCCATTGACCATGATACATATCCGACGAATATCCAAGAATATCTTACAGGTATCATATCCGAAAAGTATGAGATGCGCAACCAAAGTGAAGTATCCGTGCATCATAGATGACAAGTTATTTTTCTTCTAAAGAAACCCCAATTTTGTGACAAATGCAACTCAGCTCAGGGGTTTAATTAGCCCTCCCGATCGTATTTTGCCCGAAATTAATAAAAAAGATAAGAAAAAAATCCGCCTTTTCAGAGCTATTGTCCCACTAAAAGAAATATCCTTGTCATAGGTCCCCTGCCTAATCAAAATATAGTACTGAAATCACCTTTCCAGTCAGCTGTTTCTTGAACCACACCACACCTGCGTATTTGTTGAATTATGGCTACCAGCTCAGAAACACGTTTAAACACTTTGGCCCCCCAACAAAAACCAATCTGGAAGATTTTAGAAGATTTTAATGGATTTTAGAAGATTTTAATGGATTTTCTTCCAATGAAAGATTTCAAAAATTTATAATAAACTTTGCAACTCTATATGGATTTTGGCTGATTTACATGGATTTTTATTCAAAGAAAAAAACAGTGGGGTACGCCTTGCAAGCGCAATTGTGAGCATATGCAAAGTAAACCATATGATGTGGGGAAAATTAGTCCAGGTTGCAGCCTTGGTTGTCAATATTTAAGGATACTAGGGGTTTTCTGTTCAGGCGCTACAACTTGATGTCCGGTGCCGTTTTTCTTTTCTCTTTTGTTTTTCGGTTCAAAGGGGAAATACGAGGGTCGAACTATTACTGCAAAATCCGGTAGGTATGAGGAGTAGGTTCTAAACATATACATGGTTCGGGTTTGAAGTATTCATTCCATCAGGTGGCATGTGTTAATGTTGAGCTTACATTCCTCTTAGAGGTCCCCATCGACCTTTAAAGACAAACCAAATTTCTGCTCCCAAAAGAACTAACCTACTTGTGTTGGTGAAGTATGATGCAGCTGCAGTCTAAAACCTAGTAAATCAAGATCGAATTTATTCTGAAACGTAATTCCTATGTTACAGATTGTTTCCTACTCAAGGGAAGATAACAAACATTTTGAGTGTCAGTGAAGCGGTCTACTTGCATATTTCAGGAAAAGGCATAGAGGCACAACAATGGTAATATCCTTTGTCATCAAACACAAACCTCTGTGAAAGATGAGCTTCTCGGATAAGATACTCTCCCCATTCCTCCGATCCATATTGCTTGAAAATGCCACGCGCATCAAAGGAATTAACCTTTCTCGTTCCCTTCTTCCTGCGTATTACAATTTCATATATCAGCCACAGGTAAAAGAAACTTTAACGAACAAACGCTTCCGGATCCCCAACACCGGGAAGACCTAATAAGCACCATAGTCAAAGAAACTTTTAACCTTTTGCTGTGCCTTGCATTCATCACGGTTGCATGCAACTGCAATCATAAAAACAAGAATCCCGAAGTGACTCTTAGAGTGAGATATAAGTAAAACATCAAAAGTCAGAGTGCAAATAAAGTTAAAGATCGTAAAAAATACCTTTAATTTCTGTTTAGCATCTTTCTCTAAAACAAGCCCGGCTTCAATATATGCATCGATGATGACTTCTATGAAAAGCTAGCTAAAGAAACTTAAAATGGGCATCAAATTCATATAAACAACTAAAACCTAGACCAGAATTTTTTTTCTTGTTCTTTATTGATTCCAGGTATACCAAACACTAAAATAAAATATAATGAATGCTCAGAAAACTAGGATACGACAGGCACGCAGAAGTCGTCCCTCACTGCCAATTTCTTCAACTGGAGCATAGACAACACCAGCTTTGGCCAAAGAACCTCTCATACAATTCTGAAAGCGCAAGAAGTATTCAGTCTCATTCGTGCACCTCAAGTCTTAAATAGCACAGAAATCAGAATTGAGAAGAACTTTTTAACAATGAAATATAAGATCCAAAGGTCACACAAGCAAAAAGAACGAAAAAAGATAAAACCAAAAAAAAAAACCTGGTGCATGATGGATTCCATTACACTTTCAGACAATAAAAGGGATCAAAGAGACTTTTTCTTTAACAGAAAAAAATAAAACACGCCTCAAACCAGGAATTTTATCCCCTACATGTTTGAATTTTCTTGCAAAGATCAATAATATTCATTCTGTGGAAACTGCTACTTTTGGTAAAGGTACTACTCAAGATGAATCTAGTTTGGTTAGTCAGCAACATAGAAAATGAAAACATCTGAGACACTGCAAAGATTGCTTGCTGACATTCTTTTAATAGTAGTCAGAGGTATGAACTAACAAGAATATAATTTAAACCTCACCAAAACATGTCTGATTTAACAACTTAACCACATGGGCACCTTGTTCCACACCACTAGCTAACACGCTATTTGGTTTAGTAAAGATTCTGAAGAAAAAATTATACCAGTCCCTTCAGTCTTATGGAGACAGGGCGATTATCTAAGGCTTCAATCACTTTTGAAGAGATTCTCTGGATGAAAAGAAAAACAAAACATTTCATGTCAAGTAGCCTTCAATCAGCTTATTATTATTTGATTCGGTTACACTTACCTGCAAAACCTCAGTAGCAGCATGAACTCGGTCCTTGTTCCACAACTTCAGCATAAGCACAGTTAAGTGAAACGTTTTTGGTTTAATGAATATTGACTTTTCAATCCCCAAGTCTGTCAAGTGGACATAACTCAATAAGATTTTTGACAGACTAAAAAGAGGAAAATAGATAACTTGTTTACGAACTACAAGGACATCATTTTCAGTAAGTTTAAACTAGATCAAAAAAAGGAAAATACACACGAAAGAAAATAGAGCAATCAACTAACAATTAACAATGACCCAATCATCAGCTTCATGAAAGGAAAATGGAAACTGGTTAACATCACTATCATTTTATTCAAAACCGTTTAACTCCTAAAGTCTTGTAAATCATGATTATTTTGAAATTTTCCATTCATAATGATTACTTTCATACCAGATAGGGTAGCCGCCTTTGATGATTGAAGCGCATAACTGACAAGAGGTATGTTGGTTAGATTCACTTTAACATGTTGACGGTCACCTTCAACTTTAAGTTCAACTGCGACATCGGGTCTTTGGTCTTCACCTTCACTCTCAGAATTCTCTTCATTTGAATTACTATCCAGATTATCATCTACACCAGAATCACTAATTCCCAGGATTGAGTTCTGAAAGTTGACGAGCTTATCAACTAATTCAGGATGTATTGCCAATGGAAGTGAAATGAAGTGAGAATAATCGAGATTTGAGCTTTTAACTGCCTGTGTGTTTCAGCAGGAAAGAAAAAAGTTTGTTATATGCTTAACAGTATGCTCTCAGCAGCAAAAGGAAGAGTAATGATGAGAAATAAATAGTGCATATAGATGAACGGGAATAAGTTTCAAATAGTGTCGGGTTAAGCCCTTAAATAATGGACCAAAAAAAATTACTGATAGAGTAACAATATAAGATAACAACCACCGTATCTTCTGCAAAACCATATTGATAGGCAAACTGACCTGGTCAACTATAGATTTTATCTTCTCAGAAGCTCTAGATATACTTTCAACTGAATTGCCTTCAATAGCTGTGACAGGTAACAACAGTTAAACCAACTTCACAGTTCCCAGACTGTCTGAAATCCTCATATAGGAACATCATATTATATAAACTTGGTTGAAATTTCCTCCTGCCACAATTATGTAAAACTTGACCTAGAGACCTGAGCAATTTTTTATTTTTATTTTAACATAAACTCAATTTTATTAACCTTAAAGGGTGAAAACATAGTAACTTACTTAGTGAATCCTCCTCCCTTGACAAAGGGATTCTAATTTTAACTCCCATCTCGTCCTCAATCTGTTTCTGTGTCAATCCCCTGACGCACCAAAAACATAATAATAGTTACAATACACAAGAAAGTAATCCTACATACTTTTAAAAATATTTATATGTTGAATTGTGTACCATTTTCCTCTGACAAAGCGAAACAAAGAAGCACCAACCTGCTTATCAAAGAAGAGTGTGAGTGCAAAATAAACAGAATAAGTGTCACCAAAGCAATAAAAAGGTGAAATGTAGGAACTTAAAGGGAACAGAAGGGCATGTAAGAAAAGCATTATGAGAAATGCCTTTGAAGTACAATATGCAGTTAACAATACCGCCACTAGATCTGCAACAATCCTACAAAATTCCTACCATAAGATGATAGTACATGTTATTTTGTTTCTATTCCACATTCACTCAGCTTCTTTGGTCCCTAAACTCTTCCCATAACCCCTCCTATCCCAAGAACAAGGGAAAAAGGGAAAGGAAATATATATCATAGTAGCATGAAAGGTGCAAGCAAGAAAGATCTTAAAAATCTTTTATATGGTAGAATTAAGCCCAAACCAAAAATACAGGATTTTAAAAAAATCGTGCCTCAACTGAAATTGAATGCTTTTCAGTAGAAACCACTTGCTCTCCTCCAAAGACTTTATCTTCTCCAGTATCTTGTGATGCACTGGAACCAGCATCGAGGTTAGTTGCAGCCACCTCTATGACATTCTCCAAACTTGAAATTCTCGTAGAAGTGCATTCGTGCACTTCTTGCACTTGAGTTTCAGATTCCAGCTTTTCTGTGACCTCCTTCACAGAGCATTCTGCAAATCCACATCAAACAATCTGTAAGAAATCTGGATGGCAACCAATACCATGCCGATAACCTGTTTTCACAGAAATAGTTTTTTCTTTTCCAACCCAATCAAAGTTCAGAATGGCCTACCAACAATTTCTAGATCATTATACAAAATGGTAAATATAACTGCATGTTTCTGTATGTCTCAATATTATTAAAAAGACTAACAAAAATTATACTGCAATCAGTATAAGAATTAGAATCAATGCAAAAAGTAATTGGTTTCGTATAGTCTAGGCTGCTGGATGATAATTAATAAAACGTAACCCACCTTCATTGGAACTAGCTTGAGTACTGACTGGTCTCCACACAGCATTAGTTGTTCTGAGCTTTTTGTTACGGTCCCCGACAGTTTGCTTATCTTTTCTACCACTCATTTCGATATTGTAACTCAAACCGCGATACTCACAGTGTCCCTGTCAACAAGTTTGAGTCAAAAAATTCAATCCAATGGTAAATCCAGAAAGCATCACAACTGACGTAACAACCACCTTCACCTACACTCTGAACTCAATTGCAAACTCAGTTTCACACGAAATCAATTCGTTTTTTCCCTCCTCGGTGAGGTGGGCGAAAAACGCATACTAACATAGCATAGTTTTTTATTAATCAATTTTCAGAGGCTACAATTTTTGGGAGAAAAAAAAAATCCAAAATTACTCCATTAGTTTCTCTTTCCAATGAAATAATCGCTTATCCGTCGAGCAGCCGAAGGAAATCTTTTTCTGAAAATCCACAAGTACAGTAAGGATCACTATGCAGTATGCAAAAAATGAGTGTGTGTGTGTGTGTGTATATATATATTACCATGGCCATAATACAACATTAAGGCATAATTAAATACCAAAATACACAATTTTATATGCAGAATAAATGTTAAACCTAATTAATTGACAATTAAGAAAGGAAAACTAACTAGGAAGCAATTTACTGGCTTCAGTGCATCATATGCAGTTGTAAATTTCAGAAACCGATCCACTCTGCAAAAATAAGATCAAAATGTCATTTCTTTAACTCTCCTCAGAACGAATAGTTTAATAAATATGAATTATTCTGCTAAAAAAAATTAAAAGTTGTTTATTTTGACAAATTAATCAGGCGCAGTTTGGCGCCGGAGCATTCAGCAACTGAAAAGTTGACCGGTTTTTGTAGATAGGTGAATGAATTAAGGGCAGGAGGCAAACAGAGTGTTAGACGTTACCTGAAGAGGGGCCTGGAAGAAGCTAACATTAGCGGTTATGTCTTCAAAAGAAGAAGGAAGGAGGAGAGAGGAGGTGATAGCGGAGACGGAGGTGGATTGCAGAGTTTCAGCTCTTAATCTGATGACACGTATCCTTTGTGCGAGAAGCAGGGCTTTTTTTTTTTTTTATGCAAGGATTCTCTTCTTTTCTATTCTCATTCCTTTCTTTATCATGACCGAATCCTGAAATTTTGAGAGTCATGTGCGAAAGTGAATTAAAGGCTCTAAAAAGTAGGAACTGTTGCAGTCCTATTAGATTAGGAATATGATTGTGTAAATCCTAATATATCTTGGAATATCTCTTATATTCTTATTAGGAGTTGATTATCTATTAAATGTTGTAATCCTAAGGGGAAAGGTTTTTACCTATTCTACTACTATAAATAAAGGCACAATGGGGTGGAATAGAACACACCCACAATTACACATATCCCTCTTCTTCTTCTCTATTGCCGCACCCCACTCTCTAAGGCCTTCATAATTGTTTAGTAAATTATGCCTACAACACATTATCAGCACGCTCTTGACACTGCGTTAACAAGAAAATTTATTCTTTAATCAGGGGAGTATTATGTTTTAATCATTCTACTTATGATTAATTAATTATTTTATTGAATTGATCTACATGTTATTGATTCAATTTAATTTTTGGGTAAAAGACTGTTTACTACCCTCATGTTTCATGGTTTTCAACATTTAGTATATCAAGTTTTTTTCGTCTCAGAGTCATACTTAAAGTGTAAATTTTGGGACAGTCTCATACATCCGTTAGTCAAACTGTTAAATGTGCCGTTAATTGTGACGTGACGCCCATGTGGACAATGACCGGGTGCCACGTGTCAGCCACGTCTTCTTCTTCTTCTTCTTCTTCTTCTTCTTCTTCTTCTTCTTCTTCTTCTTCTTCTTCTTCTTCTTCTTCTTCTTCTTCTTCTTCTTCTTCTTCTTCTTCCTTCCTCCTTCTCCTTCCTCCTTCTTCTTCCTTCCCATTCTTCTCCTTCTTCCTTCTTCTTCCTTCTTCCTTCTCCCTTCTTCTTTCTTCTTCTTCTTCCTCCTGCAACTTTTTTTTTCCTTCCTCCTTCTCCTTCTTCCTTCCTCCTTCTTCTTCCTTCCCCTTCTTCTCCTTCTTCCTTCTTCTTCCTTCTTCCTTCTCCCTTCTTCTTTCTTCTTCTTCCTCCTGCAACTTTTTTTTTCCTTCCTCCTTCTCCTTATTCCTTCCTCCTTCTCCTTCCTCCTTCTTCTTCCTTCCCCTTCTTCTTCTTCTTCCTTCTTCTTCATTCTTCCTTCTCCCTTCTTCTTTCTTCTTCTTCTTCCTTCTGCAACTTTTTTTTTTCCTTCCCTCATTCTCCTTCTCCTTCCTCCTTCTTCTTCCTTCCCCTTCTTCTCCTTCTTCCTTCTTCTTCCTTCTCCCTTCTTCTTTCTTCTTCTTCTTCCTCCTGCAACTTTTTTTTTCATTCCTCTTCTCTTCTTCCTTTCCTCCTTCTCCTTCCTCCTTCTTCTTCCTTCCCCTTCTTCTCCTTCTTCCTTCTTCTTCCTTCTTCCTTCTCCCTTCTTCTTTCTTCTTCTTCTTCCTCCTGCAACTTTTTTTTCCTTCCTCCTTCTCCTTCTTCCTTCCTCCTTCTCCTTCCTCCTTCTTCTTCCTTCCTCTTCTTCTCCTTCTTCCTTCTTCTTCCTTCTTCCTTCTCCCTTCTTCTTCCTTCTCCCTTCTCCCTTCTCCCTCTCATTCTTCTTCCTCCGAATCTGGGGAAGTTTTTTTTTTTTTTCTTCTTTCTCCTTCTTCCTTCTCCTTCATCCTTCCTTCTTCCTTCTTCTTCTTCCAAATCTGCTCAGGTGCGGGTTTTTTTTTTTTCTTCTTCTTTCTTCTTCTTCCTCCTTCTTCCTTCCCCTTCTTCTCCTTCCTCCAAATCTGGGGAATTTTTTTTTTTTCTCCTCATTCCTCCTTCTTCTTTCTCCTTCCTCATTCTTCCTTCCTCTTCTTCTTCTTCTTCTTCTTCTTCTTCTTCTTCTTCTTCTTCTTCCTCCGAATCTGCCCAGATTCGGCTTTTTTTTCTTCTTCTTCTTTTTTCTTCTTTCTTCTTCTTCTTTTTCTTTTTCCTCCAACTTCAACTTTTTTTTTCTTCTTTCTTCTTCTTCCTCCTTCTTCTTCCTTCTTCTTCTCCTTCTTCCTTCTTCCTTCTTCTTCATCTTCCTCAAAAAAAAAAAAAAAAAAAAAAAACCTTCATCTTCCCCAGATTCGGAGGAAGAAGAAGGAAGAAGGAGAAGAAGGGGAAGGAAGAAGGAAGAATGAAGAAGGAAAAAGGAGGAAGGAGGAAGGAAGAAGGAGATGAAGGAAAAAAAAAAAACCGAATCTGGGCAGATTCGGAGGAAGAAGAAGAAGAAGAGGAAGGAAGAAAGAGGAAGGAGAAGGAAGAAGGAAGAAGGAAGAAGGAGGAAGGAGGAGGAAGAAGGGGAAAAAAAAAACACTTCCCCAGATTCGGAGGAAGAAGAAGGAGAAGGAGAAGGGAGAAGGAAGAAGAAGGAAGAAGGAGAAGAAGGGGAAGGAAGAAGGAGGAAGGAAGAAGGAGAAGGAGGAAGAAAAAAAAAGTTACAGTTGGAGGAAGAAGAAGAAGAAGAAGCAAGAAAGAAGAAAGAAGAAGGAAGAAAAAAGAAAAAAAAAAACATGACTGACACGTGGCGCCCAGTCATTGTCCACATGGGCGCCACGTCACAATTAACGGCACATTTAACAGTTTGACTAACAGATGTATGAGACTGTCCCAAAATTTACACTTTAGGTATGACTCTGAGACGAAAAAAACTTGATGTACTAAATGGTGAAAATCACGAAACATGAGGGTAGTAAACAATCTTTTACCCTTAATTTTTCTATGTTGAACGTGATACAATGCATTGGATATGCAATTCCGGCTTTCCGAGATGGATCTTCTACAAATTCAAAGGCTTTTGTTGTTTTCTGCCAATTAGGTACGCTTAAAATAAAGTAAGATATTTGAAACGACCTTGAAGCATGAAAACATTCCCCATGATGCATGAACCCCCCTATGTTTATATTTTCCTTCCGATATATATATTGTATATGTTCATATATTTTTCAATATATACATTTGTTTCATGCATTACGCAGTTTTTGCTATGTGAAATTTGTGAGTCAAAGAACCGAAAGAAATTAGAAGCAATTAGGGTTTTTCAAACCCTAGAAATTTTGAAAAAGAGAAAAAAAATTATGGGAATTTTTTTGGCTAAGGGCACGACCTGTATGGGTCCTTGACTGTTGCTAGAACCGCATGTTTGGGTTCCACATATTCTGCATGCAGCCTTAATCCATGCCTCAGTCCATCTTACCAGAAGCTAGCCTTGCTAAGCTTCTTAGCCCAATACTCGAAGCCAGCAATGCTGGGCTTCATCTAAGCCAAGCCGCACCAAGCCAGCGTCACGGACTAGGCTAGTGAAATTTGTTGGGCCCGCAACACTTCAAGCAACATACCAGCATGTGCTGGGCTTTTCCCATCCCCTCGGCCCAATATGCAGCAAGCATACAACTTGCACTGCAACGAATTGGGCTGCTTTACAACCATGATCCGAAGCCCAACCCGCAACATAAAGCTGCAGGGCCCTATTTTGGACAGCAGCCAGCAATCCTTTGCTGGGCTACCTTTTGTTCTCGGCCTAAAGCTATTTTTGGCTTGTTTTTTTTTTCAGCCCGCACCCATATTTTTGGTGCCCTACTCTCGGCACCCAATGCTAATTTTTGGCATTCTAAATAATTTTAACCCATATGTTAATATTATTTTGCTTCTACAATCGACCCTGTATGGCCCAATTTATTGAATTAATTAAAAGTGACCTGCAGTCTATTAATCTGATAATGAATCCAAAATTATTGACCTGAAGATCACTTTTGGACATTAACAATTCATATTTTATTTCTTTTCTTTGAACCGTTGACATACTTTCGTAGTCCCGAAGCACTCACACTTGAGTTCCTGAAGCAACCCAAATCCACTACACTTAGTTATATATTGCATTCTGTGTTCTTGCAGGAACCTCTCTTTTATGAACTAAACGTTCATAAACTAAATTGAACTTGTAGTTTCAAATTTAGTGCCTTTGAAACCCGAAGTTTTCATAAAAAAAATATACCTATGAAAACCCGACGTTTTTCATGAAAACCATGTCTTAGAACTCGAATTTTCTAACTTTGATGCTTATGGATGATTCATTCCCATAGCACCAATCACAACCTTGTTCCCTCCAAATTCAGTGGATTGTCGAACTGTCACAAGTTCGATTTTCCTTATTTGGACGTTTTCTAAGAGAAACCACTTTATGTGAGGTACAAGACGTGAATCTCCACTTGACTATCAAGAAGCTGAGAAACCATTGAAGCCAACAATGGCATGGAAGAGCTGAATAAGCCTTCGCCATGATCTTCATTCGAAGACTTATGCTCAAAGCAATACAAATGGAAATACCTCCCAATCGAGGATTCCATGGCTCTTTGGCTCGCTCATACGGACTGTCTAATCATGAAAGACATTGCCTGAAGCACATCATGATTACGTCTATGAATGAGTACAATTCTGAAGTTTATAAATCCGATCGAATATTGATTACTATTCTCGTCCTTCCTTGTTTCTAACTCGCCCCTAAAGCAGTAGTGTAGATAGCAAAAGTTTACCAAATTCTCAGATCTGATTACTACCACAAACGTGAAAGCAAGGTATGGACCCAGTTCGGCTGGAGTCTACCGAATAGCTTGACCCAGTTCGGTCAAAGCCTACCGAATGGTGATGCACTGCTTTGACAAGGATACACCGAATGGCACATTCTCTCATAATCCAATTTCAAGTTTGTTTTTACAACATATGATAGAATCAGGGCCTGCCAAGGTGTGGCATTATGCCCGAAGCATGATCCTTGGTACCTAAGACCTAAAACTTCAAGAATAAGGAAAAATATTCACGAACCTCAAACCCTGCAAAATCTATTTTCTCGATATAATAGATCATTGGTTATGCACATGTTCGTGCCCCTATCAATGTTGTTGAGAAGTACCATTCTAGTATTCAATATGTGAGACTAATTTTGCTCCACCA